TCTCTTGTGCCTGGACCTAATACTCTAACGTAGATGTGCAGCTCTGAAAATGCTCTCAGCTGAAGTACAGATATCTTTCACTCCTAGAATCCGTTCTAACACAAGATAGAAGCTTTGACTGTATGTACACTGTTTGTTGTTTTAAATGTGTACTTATATTTCCCTTCAAACAGTAACTCTGTAAAGCATTATAATGTAGGGGAGGGTTATTGAAAAAAACTCATTTTAAAGCTTTAAAAGTCAGACACTGTGCCTCAATTCAAAACCTGGTTGACTAAACTTCAGTATTACAAATAGACAGAATTACATAAGGAATGATGGACACTCTTCATATATATTTTGTTATATGGCAGCCGTTTCTTCATCATCTTGCACAGTCTAACTTGGTTTCATGGCCCTCAAAAAAATGCTGTGCCTTCCAGCTTGGATGCTTGTGTTAAGACATGTTGTAGAGTAGCAATGATGAAGCAGTGTAATTTAGTGTTTTGCCTCATCATCAAACACATCCTGAGTTATTGGGAGGTTATGTTTCGTTTTTTTGCATTTTTTGTGCCATGTTGTCAAAGAAAATGTCAATAAATATACTTATCCTTATATTGATCACACCTCTAAACATTTAAATATCCACTGTTTCCTTTGACACTGAGAACAAGCTAAAACAGACAAAGTATGTCACTCAGTAAGTATTTCACATATTTGCTATGAAAAACTCTAATAACCAACTTTCCTCCAGCCAGCAGAGCGATTTCCCCCACGCAGCTCCGATGGGCCTCTGGTGAGTCTGCTTGTAATGTAAAAGGCCTGTTAATTCAACTGCCCACCAGTTAGTCCCTCTCTCATAAGCACAGGTCTAATGAATGTCTTTAATAGGCCTATTGCTGCGTACCACAGTCCCACTCTCCACATTAAGACCTCACACAACACTGTGTGCACTGTGCAATCTCAGCGCTGGTCAAACGAGGGTGTTAACTACCAAACTGGGAGACATCAGTTTATATATTTACTTTAAATAACCCCCCTGGGTATGACCCCTGACCTCTATGATAATGTGGGCCAGCAGAAGATATTGCTTGTGTGAGCTGGGCTCGGACTACTGGTCATTAACACTGCACTTTATCGGTAACAGGAAAACTGGAGCAGTAGATATGTGTACAACACTCATCCAGGTCCATGTGCAAACAAAGTGTGCAAAGACACAACACATTTCGACAGTGTTACAGCATCACCATAATAACAAACGGAAGAATAGTAGACTAATGCAGTCCGGCCTGTGCAGCCCATCTATTACACACAATTTGCTTGAAATGAGAACATGATAAATGCAGCTGGAAAATAAACTGCACGTGTTAATTACTGACCGTTCAGTAGAAATTGTATTAAGTGCACTCTGTCAGCACTGTCCTCCATCAATTACATCCCAATGAAATTGCACTGCATTCAACAATATCAATATCCAGGTAATTTCATTTCAAAGGACAGGCAATTAAAGCAGAATTGGGGTCAATGGAACACAGAGCAGCGTGAAAGCCACTGACTAAAGCACTTAAAAGCAAGGGAGTAAGAAACGAGAGAAGGGAGAAAAAGGAATTCTGATTACATTTACCCTGTCAATGACACACTGCAGGAGCATTATTGTGCGTGTGTGTATGACTGCGTGTGTCTGTCTGTCTTTGTGTTTACAAAACTATGTGTGTGTGCTTCTGTACACAGAATTGTCTGCGTGTTTCCATGCATGTATGCACAATATGTGCGTGTTGTGTGCGCAACTCCTGGGTATGTTATGCCTGAAGACATACGTGCAGTAATAGAGTGGTGGTAGACTCAGACAGCTGCCCAGTGCCATTCACAGCTCAGAGCTCCCAGCCTCCACTCTGCTCTGTTCGCCTTCTGATGAGAATTAATGTACTCTGACGTCCCCTGGGACTCCCCCACTCCCCCCTAACAGCACAGCTAATGAAGAAATACAACCTTGCCAAAATACTGAGGTGGAGAGAGAGAGAGCGACACAGACAGAAAGACTGAGACAACACGAGAGAGGGGGAAACTGAGGTAGATAAACAAAGGGAAAACAAAAATGGAACGCAAAATAAAAAACCAGGAGAGTCATTTTGGGGCCAGCAGGGTTAAAGAGAGGTCGACGTCCAGTACTTCATTGGATGGGAGAGACACATGTAAGAGATGGGAGGGAACTGTAGGACACAGGGTGAGGGAAGCCACCGTGAGGTTTGGCTCTGACCCAAGACACGTGTCCTGGATGGCCATACCCTGCCCCAGGGCTGCTACAGGCGATGACTGCCCTGCCTCTCCCCAAGGGGCTCCCCTGACACCCCTACACACACACAAACATGCACGTACGCACAAACACACAGACACACACATAAACACACACATAGATGAACAGTATGGATGCCAGAATGCATGACCCCAAAATAGCAACTGTGCGATCGGCCACAAGACACATGCTGTAAAAGCTGACCACCACAAAATAAGTGCCATAAAGTCTGGCAGTCTGTTAATCAATGTCAAGCAAATCGACACAAATACACACACTGGCTCCTGGGGCCTCGTCCATATGGTATCCATCAGTAACAGTTGCATCAGGGTGTCCATTAAATACGGTATACAGGAGGTAATCATGATACAGTGATCAGCTCGAATGAAAGAACCTGTACGTTTTTTTATTTCCTTTATGGTCTTTATCCCCTTTTTTTTCTTAGACTGAAGTGGACAAAAAAATCCTGCCATTCAGAAATGGGACTGGTGGCTACTTAAAGTTTGCCCTGATTTTTTAGCTGGACATGCTGCAATTCAAAAACCATTCTAAGATCTGCTCTGCCCTGTCTCCTCACAGTGGAGACTCCCATGTCTTCTGATGGCGTTTTAGTTTCAAACAATACAAGAGGACATTGGAGGGACCAGTCGAACTCACGCAACTGCAACACTGGATAGAGACAATTTCAATCTCCAGTGCATCTTGGCAATGAGTACTGCTCTGATTTTTTGCAGTTTTAAAATCGAAGGTCAAATACAGCATTGATGGGGGAACAATATTTCAAATGTCACCCATTCCACCAGGAATATAGTAGATGTAAGTCCGCTCAGTGGTGCCACCTACACCTGTGCCAAAAATATCAAATATCACAAAAAATATTAGGAAGGTAAGAAAATTCCTACTGTGGTTTATACTCACAGCTTCTTGGTCTTGAAAGACTCAGCAAACTCCCGGACACTGCGGAGAGAGGCCAGGTCGCACATCATGGCTTCCACACGTGCTCTGTGCTGTTGAGACAGAAAACACAGAAGTATGGTTGTTAGAGCAACAGCAAAGTAAAGGGTCGCCATCATTATTTAGGTTTTTACCATTATTAAGTCATCACCTTGAGCAAAAATAACCACAAAGCACACGTTCAAATGGTAGAAAAAGGAATAATGTTTCACCACTTTTAAAGGTACAGTGTGTAGAATTTAGTGACATCTAGGGCTGAAGTTGCATGTTGCAGCTGAATACTCCTCATCTCACCCTCGAATTACAAACATGAAATAGAAACTGTGGTGAAGCTCAGTTGTCATAAAAACTCAAAAGGGTTTAGTTTGTGCAGTTTGGACGACAGTAAAAAAAACATGGCATTCAAAAAACATTCTAATATAAAGGGCCCATTCTAAAATGTACTTCTATTACTCAGACTGGAAGAAGTGATGTGAGAAGAGTGCTGACATATGATCACAGTCCTGTCTAAAGACTCCTACAGAACTCTGTAGAGTTTGACAGCATGTTCTCAGCTCTGTTTGTGTGTATGTGTGTGGATCCTCTTACACCATATGTTGGGAGACAGGGTGAGGATGGGAGAGGAGTGGAGAAAGATAAATGACTTAAGAAGTTAATGCATAGCTGCATTTACACACCGAGGAAGACAGGCTAAATATTCATCATTCCCTCCATCCTACTGTACCATTCTACAGCAGGGCAGAGGCCTCGGCACAGAGACAAAGGAGCATATCTTTGTGATAACAACATTTTTTTCGTCTGTGATGGAGTGTGTCAACTTGGACTATCTCCCTGGCTTCCTGTCTGTATTTCCTGTATCCTCATCTCGCCTTTCTCTACATCTTTATGAGAACAGGTCCTCTCAGCCGACAATCTAGGTTCAATCTACCTTCAACATACAAGCTCACAAGGGGCCTTGGTGTGTGTTAGCACAAGTGTGTGCAGTGTGAATCATGGTGGAGCGTGTTCGGATCAGACTAATGGTCCATTAGACTCATCACTCATACTGGAAAAGGGAAACGGAATGAGATATTTCTCCCAGGATTCCCCGCTGGGCTCTGGCTGCAGTAGCGGCAGGTATTCCTGATGCTACCTCTCCCCTTCGTCCTGCCCGCCATCCCAGAGGAACGCTGTCAGCTCACATTACACCCCGGAAAAGCGTTCAGCGTTCCGCTCTCCATCCGCCACCTCCACCTCCGCCACCGCCGCTGCAGCTCCACTGTCAGCCTTTCCCAATGATCTGATCTCTAGTCTGGGGGCGTCATATGGGAATGTCTTTCCTCTGCGTGTCTGTCTTCACGCAGCTAAGTGTACATGACACCCACAGCAGAGACGCTCCATGGAGCAGTGAGCACAAAGAAAACAAGAAAGGGTTAAGAGCACCTTCTGATGGAAATGTGATTCTTCAGGCATTTTACAGACACCTTAACTGCCCCGGGGTGTATTTATACATGCATACACAGGCACACGCACACCAATACACACACAACAAATTCAGTGTTGTGACTCAAGGGTAAAACCGTGCTATCACACCATTATCTATGCCTGAATTATTCTCTTGATGCTACTCTATACCATTATATGGATGCTATTACAAAGCATTAAAGGGCTGATTATGGCTATTACAGATATGATTATAGGGTACCTGCTTATATGATCTGCACACAGCAGTAATCACAGGTGAGAGGAGACAACTGTCTAATTTAATGACTTGTACATGCAATATGCATTTACACTCCTAGCCTCTTTTACACAAAATACATACACAGAACTGCAGGGAAAATGAAAAAGGCGTTTGCTGTAAAACTAATATTTGGCCGCTGAGTATTCACCCAAGTTTGAGAGGAAGAAGAGAGAGGAGGAAACTTTGTGTGGTGCCTTCGGTTGTTCGAAATGGAGATTTCAATTATACAATGAGAAAAATGAAAGATTAATCCCAAACAAGGTCAGAGCATGCAGCAGTGTGATCATTAACAGGTCAGGATAGGGTCTCCTCAACAGGGTAGCCCTCAATGTTTGTATGACCAGCAGAGAAGATGAGAGCAGGTGTCAGCATGACGAACACATATCCCCTTCTCCAGAGACGCAGGGGGGGGATAGGGAAGGAGAGATGGAGAAATGGGAGACCAGAGGGAGGATAGAGGGGGGCTAAGGGGGGCCACTGGAGCAAATCCAGCAGGGAGAAGGTGAGCAGCCTGCCTGCCCGCCTGTCTGTCCGCCTACCCTCCCCCTGCAGATTGAAGTCTTGCGAAGAAAATAAAGTTTATTGCCTGGAAAGAGGGGGGAAAAAGCATGTAAAAAGCATTAAAGCGATGGAGGTGAACAATTAGACAGATGGCCAGGTTTTGGAAGGAGAGGAGGAAAAAAGGGATAGAAAGAGAGAGGGAGAATGCACGGACGCAATCGTTCAGGGTTTTTATGAGGACCCTGACAACTCCTCGTCTCTTCAAGGGCGAAGGAAAAGTGAGAGGCAGCAAAGCCTCTCTGGTTAACTCTGGAGTAATCGCTGAGTGTGCAACACCACAGAGCTCGGCTTGGGGTGACAGAGCTTACTGCCCCCAGCTACGCACAACCTATCGCACCCTCTGAAAGCAAAAGGCTAATTATGAATGAAACACACATAAACAGGCTTCACGGCTTGAAAACTAGAAATTGCGACGACTGCTCGTTTGTTTTTTGGACGCAGCTCCGCAAAAGAGCCACGTGTTTGAGGCCGAAAGCAGCAAGGTCACCACGATGATAACACAGGCATCAGATCACTCAGCCTCCACTCCTGCCGCCACCTCTCACGTTCCGCCCCCCCCCCACTTCCAGCCCGTCAGCCCAAGAGAACAGCTGTAACATGACAATGACCTTAACGACTTTCAGGAAGCAAAGAAGGAGGGAGGAAAAGTAACACTTGAGGTGGTCGGCCTCTGCAGAGGTTCTCGTCATCTCTCCTGGTGTTTTCCATGTGCGTCGGGGAATGACATGTGGTCACTGCTGTGGATAAAGATGGAGACGGAGGATGGAGGGGGACGAGCTCTAATACAATTATAACTTGAGCCATCCAATCCAATAAAATGAAGAGGTATTAGCGCAGGGGGAGCCCCATTCTGTTCAATAAGACACTGGAGCACTCTACTACTACTCTGAAAACACACACATGTAGGCATACTGGCACATGTGCACTCACAGGTACACACACTTTGCTGACCCCTTTAATAGCACAGCAGCCACCCCTAATGGACGCAAGCAAGTGGAACCGCCAAATAATACACTGTCTTAATGCACTAGGCTCAATCTCATCCACCTCTCCCCTTATCCTTCTCTGCCTTCCCCCTCACACTTTAACCCCTTTTTTTATTTTCCCTCACCTCATGCCGCCCCCTCACCACCTCAACTCCCCTTATAGATCACAAATGCAGGGGCAACACTTAAGAAATCAAAAGTACCACCCATAGATATGAAACACTTACCCTGCACACCTCGCTGAACAACTCAGGTGTGGAGAAAGACGGTGTAAGAGTGAGTGGGGCAAGACAAAAAGTGTATTATTTCTATATTTTAGTAGAGTTTCTATTACTCCCTGTGAATATAATATCAATTTAAAGCAATATTCTACGGAAGTATTTTTTTACCAGCAGGTGCGGAGGTAAGATGTTGTAATGGCGGTGAAAGTGAATGAGCAGTGAAGACACCATGTGAAAAGGGCACCTTATAAAAGCAATTAGAGAAATGACTTTGAGCCCCTCTTTTTGCTCTGTAGATTAGAACAGGCCTCGGAGGGAGGAACACAGAGGAACCCAGATCTCCATGACCTTGTCCGCAACACGCCACACTAAATTGGTCATCAGCTTTTAAGACTGTATTTTATCATAGATATATATTTTTAGCGAAAAGAAAAAGAGAGCGGGGGGGTAGTGTGGAACACGCTAGTCGTATATCATCCTGTCACAATTATGACGTTTGTTCATAAATACCAACCAATCTCCTCTCCACCTGGCTAAGTCACATGGGCTTGTGCTTATGCACGCGCCATACACCAACAAAGAAATATGGACACACACCACATGCGGCGGAACGCACACGCAAGCCGCAAATAAAGAATGGACACATCTGGCTGGGTGCCCTACCACAGATCTGAGAGCTGACCTCCATACACAGACAAAGAGACTGAACACACACTCAGGCAACACACCTTCATACACCTAACACACATGAATAAAGTCTCTGCACATTACAAACACAAACGCACACACAAACAAACAAATGCATGCGCACATACACACCCTCTTACCCACTGACATGGACACACCGCAATTAATAGGGAGGCAGGTCTCTGGTGAGGAAGAGAAAGTGCCTGTTCAGCACATACAGGCAGAATATGCAATTTCCTCCAGTTAAGTCTGTATTAAATTGATTTCTTCTTTCTCTGACACGGACTGGGTTTTTCCCCCCTAATGAAAGCTGGATAATCTACAGGTTTTCCCTTTCCTGAAATCAAGTTACAAATCAAGCAATTGCAGGGGCAGATATGGGAAAGGTGAAGGAAGGACATGGGATGATTTTCCAGATGAGAAACATGGAGAATGAGGCACATACGTGCTGATACTTTTAACACGGACATCTGGGGCACCACACACACACTCACACGCAACCACACATGCACACACAAAAAAGTTTAGGCCAGACCTCAGTTAAATACTTGCTGACATTTCCATTCAGTGACGTACTTAGGCTACTGCAGGACCATGATAGTAAACACAGCACTGATGACTGTAATGAATGAAACACATTAATTAGTAAGCACTTACATCAGTTAATCACTCCCTGAGACCTGACAAGAAGCCGTGACGTTCCACAGAAACACTGAACATGCTGACAAAAAAAGACCCACAAAGACGGAGGGAGGACTTAAAGCGGACAAAAGGAAAAATGATTACAGAGAACAAGTGGAAGTATTCATTTCTCTCAGTCATACCAACTCTTCTATTAAAAGGGGCTTAAGCAAATGTTTCAGTAAGTATTAGTA